GTGCTCCCAGGTTTTAATGCCTAAAATCCCCATTCCTGAGTTGAATTTAGTGAGCTGTGATGACAGAGTGTGTGGGAAAAAATATGTGAAGAAGAATGAGAATTGTCTGGTCTGCTTATAGGATGGGGACTGGATGGATAGAGGAGAAAAGACTATTGACTGCAAAACTGCCTGGTTCAGCCAAGCAGAACAGAACAGTATCAGCATATGTGTAAGCTGCTGTGTTATCCCAGTCACTAGGGAACAATATGAACACTTTGTTTATCAGTGGGTCTAATCACCTTCAATTCCTTTTGACTTCAAGCATTAAGCTTCTGCCTAGTGGCAGTTGGAAAATGAGACTTGCAGTGCCTGACTGAAGAGAACCCTGTTTGGAGCGCCTCCTGCAATGTTATGACAAGCTTCTCAGCTGCAGCTTAAAGGCCCAACAGAGATTTTTGTGATTTGACTTAAGGGATTGCTTGCAGACATGAAGCAAATAAGTGATTAACTATAAAGAAGATGTGGTAATGAGTTTCAGATGAGGTCTTTTAGGTTTATTAAGAGAGGTCTGAAAGTTTGCTGCTACTTGTATTTCTCGTTTTCTAACTTAAAATGTCGTCTTTGAATCTCATGCTGCACACTGCTTATGAACTACAAGATCCCATTACTGTAATATTGTAAAAAAAAAAAAAAGTCTTAAAAAGAAAATAAATCCGTAGAATGTAAATCCTTTTTCCAGTGTATAGAAAACCAATGAGCCATTTTAAGAGCAGGAAGAACATGCATTTCAAGATCCAATAGATCACCTAAATTGGTCCCAAACCAAGTTTTAAAATGGCATTGCAAAGACTTTTGCTTTGAATAAATTTAGGGTTAAAAACCCCAGAATATAAATAAAAATAAATTAGATTTGCTGTTTGTTTTGTACTTTACTAATATTCTGATTAACTAAGAAAAAACCTGCTTAATAGGTATGACCCTTTCTGATTATTCCAACTGCGGAACTTAAAAATGCAAAACTAACATTTATGGCTTTTCGGTTTCTTTCATCTAGCTTTTTGTTACGAATAAACTTTATGTCTTTCTAGGTAACGTAAACTTTAAACCTTTGTTCTTTATGTTCTGACATGTCTATGTTTGTTTGAAATCTGGCTCAGTGAATCTAAAATTTCTCACTTGCCTGACTTCTTGTAGATGGGGAATTATTCTAGATTGCCGCATCATATATTTTCAGTCTAAACCCTGTCTTAGTGGTGTACTTTGCAGCCTAAACAAGTGTGTGTGGGTCTACATAACACCTTATGGTTTCAGAGCTGTAGAAGAAAACAGTATCAGAAAAATGGCCTCTATTCAAGAAAACCTGTCTTTGTAATAACAAATGATTGCACTCTCTTTGTCTTAGTTGTCTGCTTTGCATGAAATTATAATGTCATTGTAATGGCTTGCAAAACTTGCAAAGGTTCTCCATGACCGTGCTGCCGTCTCTGTGACCTGTCTGTGCTATGTAGTGTCTTTCTCTGGGTGGAGTGGAAGGGCAAATGTCGAAGGAAGTCTATAGCAGTACTTTTAGTATCTTCTCTCCTGGACTTTAAGTTTCAATGTGTTACCCAGGCTTCTGGAAAACTGAAATATTTCACTAAGAATAAACTCCTTGATTTCTGTACCCCAGACCTGAATTTGGGAGTTTGAGACTGCACAAAAAATGCAGAATTGAATCCATAATGCTTAACAATGAAGTGGGTTGGTTTTTTTGATCTGTTATGATGTTTAAAAGTGCTGACAAAATTTCATGGCTTTACTATATTTTCTTGTATTATTTTATTTTGAAATTAGTCTTCAATAATACGAGGCTCACGTTAAAAAAAAAAAGTGTCTCTTCTGGTCTTTAAAAACGTGATACGTATACATATATATACACACATATATATACACGCACATATATACACGTGTGCACATATACACGTGTGCGCACACATATATGATGAAATCTGTTGTTTTTACCCCAAAATTTCCCCACCCAGTATTCTGTGCTATGTTGCCTGTGGGCTGCTCAGTAATTAATTTGTAACTGCATTTCTGAACCAGAATGTGGAAACACGGAATCACAGAATGGTTTGCGTTAGAAGGGACCGTAAAGAACATAAAATCATAGAATCATTTTGGTTCTAAAAGACCTTTAAGATCACAAAGTCCAACCATTATCCTAACACTACCCAGCCCACCACTAAACCATGTCCCTAAGCGTTACATCTATACGTCTTTTGAACACCTCCAGGAATGGTGACTCCACCATCGTCTTGTTCCACCCCCCTTGCTATGGGGTGGATCTTCCACTAGACCAGGCTGCTCAAAGACCTATCCAACCTGGCCTTGAACACTGCCACTGCTCATCCTACCACCACACTCCATGATGAAGAGTCGCTCCCCACCTTTTCTGCAGGCCCCCTTGAAGTACTGGAAGGCCGCTGTAAGGTCTCCCCAGAGCCTTCTCCAGGCTGAACAACCCCAACTCTGTCAGCCTGTCCTCATATGGGAGGTGCTCCAGCCCTGTGATCATCTTCGTGGTCATTCTCTGGACTCGCTTAAGCAGGTTCATGTCCTTCTTATGCTGGGCGCCTCGGAGCGCTATGCAGTACTCCAGGTGGATTCTCATGAGAGTGGAGTAGAAACAGGCATGATTTAGTGGAAGTGCTCACTGAAGGGACCAGTGTATATGGATGCAACTCTTGCAGTACTGTTGGTTAAACACAAACATATTCTGTTGCTTTAATGAGTTCGTACGTCTACTCTTTTATTACAAAAATACATTTTATTACAAAGGTATTGAATAGAATTTACATGATGGATAATTATTTTTTTGGCATTAGTGAATGAAGTTCCACTCCCAACTCCCCCAGCATATTTTAAGTTAGACAAAGAAATTGATAAACATTTTAAACTAGAAAGATATATTCCAATTCCATTTAATTTCTGGGGTTCTTTTCCCTTTGCAATTCTTCATTTGTCTGTTCAACTTAGCCCACCCTTCCATACACTTTTTTAAAATATTGTTGAAGGAATAATGTTACTTGTTCTTTCCATTTCAGTGAAATGTATATTTTTTTTTATTTTGCTGATTACCAAGGTCAGCAAAGATTACACACATCATATTTTGAACCCCCTACATTCTATAGTCAGTATCTTTATATTCTTGAATTATTACAGTATGGATTCTTAATTGTCTTGTTCTTCTCTACTATATAAAAAGCTGTACCATTAAAACTTGCAAAACTTCTTGTTCTACCTCTACTTTTTGCTTGCAATTTCACCTTACGGTTTCATCTGCGCTTCACCATCACATCATTGTAAGACCACTTACGTATTTGCTTTATTTCATTCCATTATTATTTTTTAATTTAAGGAAGCTGTGACAAGATCCCTTACTTTGAAGACCTTTTTGAAAGCTCTTGAGAGCCAATAGTCTGAGTAGTATATTAGAAGTTCTCAAAGATTGTATCAGTGAGCATCTTGACAGCAACTGCGTCCTTTCCTCTTCACAGTGTGAAGAGTAACACCTTTTCCTTTTGGAATCATACCTTACCTTGTGGTAATCACTCTAGACAATGCTTATGTAGAAAGTTGTTATTAAAAAAGGTACCAGGAATCTGAAGCTGTGAAGTAGAGTTGTAAAATCTATGTGAAAAAAGTTGCTTTCCTGTCTAGCTCTTTTTTTCTTCCCCTATTTTGACATTTTTTGTGTGTTTCTGCCTGGATCCATGTGTATATGCCTACTGCTGTGGCCATGCCTGTCTATTCACATTGTGCATACTTTCCTGTTTCTTGATAATACTCCACAAAGACCCAGTTCCCTGCTCCTCCATTTCTTTGAAAAGGTACCCTGGCATTTTCCTTTTTCTCACCACTTTCTTCCTTGCTTCACATAATGTTTTTCGCTTTTTTCCCCTTCTTTTTTAATGATAATATTTATGCTGCTGTCCTTGAAGGTGCCTGTTGCTTTCCCCACCCCCTCTCCTTTTTTTAATGGAGGAGTGTCAGCTCTTTTTCCTCCTTGTTTCTGAATACTTTTCTAAGTACCTAAGCTTTTAATTGCAATTAGCAGTAGAGCTACTTATAGAAAGAATTGTATACAAATAGTAATGAGTATCAAGTGATCTACAGATTTTTTTTTTTCCAGGCCACCAGCAAGTATTTTCCTGACCATAATTTGAGAACTGTTTGATTCATATTAAGAGAACAATAAAATTGCGTGTTTGAGCACTTATACAGCAAGAAATGAGAAAATCAAGGCTACATATGCCTTCTGAGCTGTTAGAATGCTTTGCAACTTTTTTCTTTTTTTTGTTTTCTTTTTTTTTAGTGTTTCTAAAGGAGAAAGCAGTTATGTAATGCAGAGCAATTTGGTGAGGGTCTTTATTAAGACATATCTGCTTAGGAAAAGTCTTGGAATATCCCTTGTTTTGGTTGACAGGGATTTTTGCTTACTACAGAAAACTACAGTAAGGCCCATTTGTTGAGAGACTTGCGTGATACACACTGAAGAACCTTGTCATTTCCCTCTTTGCTCTGTCTTTGTTAAGTAATTCTGTTTGTACGTTACTGATCTGTGCCCAAACCCATCTAGTGATGTAATATCCGATTGCCCACTTCATGGCTTTAACAGACAAATTAAATACATGATACAGAACACTATTTTTAATGAGTTATATATTTAATAAGTCAAGATGATGTGATAATTTCTTGTTGATTCCTTTATGCATATGCCAAGTTAGGACTGTTTTAATCTGATTTCATGTTTTGACTCTTTTTTTCTATTCGTGCTTTTGTCCTAAAAGTGCTTTTATTTTTTATTAGATATTAACAAGTAAAAGAATCTCTTAGTCCAAGATAAAGTTGGAAATTCTGCATAGAAAAGAAATAAAACTTTTCTTAAGTGACAAAAAAAAGAAATTAGAAAAAAGAAATAAAATATGCTAATGATCTTTACTAAAACCTAAATATGTTTGGTTTACTTATTGTAGGTTGATGCCTTGCGGTTACGACTGGAAGAAAAAGAAACCTTTCTGAATAAAAAAACAAAACAACTTCAAGACCTCACAGAAGAGAAAGGAACCCTGGCTGGAGAGATTCGAGATATGAAAGACATGTTGGAAGTAAAAGAAAGAAAAATTAATGTCCTTCAAAAAAAAGTAAGATCACTGATGAAAGGATAAAAGTTGTAAAAGGAGCATATATTTATTTCTTATAGCATATTTCTTTTGATATATTAAGAACATGCAAGAAGTAAATCAGTAATAGTCAAGTAGTTCTCTAGTATAAAATATGTGTTACTGTTTTCCGTGTGATCTTTTCTATAATGTTTTATCTTAATTATATTATATCACAAAAATATTAGGTGCTGCACTTTCCACAAAATTATTGGAGTTAAATGAAAGTCCTAAAAATTCTGGGAGAACTCTTTTATTCCTCAACACGAGGGCTGCCATTATCCTTACTGACACTGATTACTACCCTTTCTATATAATGTAGATAAAATGTGTGGGACTGCTAGAAGATTAGGATACTACTTCTTTTATTTAAAGACTTTTTTGGGAGGGAGGAGGGGAGTGGGGAAGGAATATAACTTAAGTCAGTTATCTGTCTTTCCTGTGAGCTAAAGGCATTAAGAAGGGAGGCTCTCTCCAAATAGCCTTGGTAGTCTTATTTCTAATTTCCCACAAATTTAACTAACTGCATTTACTTTCTTTGGGAAGTTGGTTTTAATCATTATAATTTCCACTTGGGAGAGTAGGGAGGGAATTTCCTGGAAAGGCAGCTCTGCAAGGGTTCAGCATACAGTAGTACAACGTTTATTTACCGTATTCTTTTTCTCACACTCACAAAAATACTTATACTAGCAGATACGTTCTGTGTGTTGTGTGTATCACTATCATATATACGTGCACTTGCGAGCATACAGATAAATGGAGAAAAAATTCCTGGCATCAAATACGTTTCACTACTACTTCTCCCCTCCTTTTACAGCCACTCAAAGAATGACTATTCCCTACTTTCTATTATTATGTAGGTAGTTCGTGTTATTGTGATTTTCCTCCAGAATTCATATAGGGTTCACATGGTCTAGCTGTGCTTCTGTCTGCAGTCAGTTAAACAGTCTTTAAAAAGCCTTAAAAGCTTTAAAAAGGAATATAGGTACTCATCCACTTTAATCTTATTTCTGAATAACTACCTTGTTAGCAATGCTGATGATGTAAAGACAGCAAACTTCAAGCCTTTTATCCTGTGCTGAGTACTAATTAATTTTGGACATCACTTCAGAATTTTGAAGAAAAGTATGCATCTTTTTGTATGATTTGTATTCTAAAAATACCCCAAACAAACCAACAATTTACAGCTGGTCTTGTATTTAGATCTTGAGGAAATGGATCAGTTGGAGGAGTGCGGATTCAGTGATCAAAATTGTGTGATGAATAGAACTTATCACAGAGCTCTCAGCGCTGTCTGTCATGGCTATGTGCTCAGAAATATGCAGCATAGTCTGTTTTTCTGGTTTTGATGCACCACAGCTATTTTATTAGGGTTTGCAGATGGTCTTGCCTCTTTTGCACCTGCTTCTTAATGAAAATAATCACTCTCAAACTGCACTATCTCTCTTCACTAAATCCTAGAGCAAACACGATACAGCCTCATGAGCTCTAGTAGTTAATGTGATAAATAAATCCTGGTAGCTACTAGGTGCGAAATCAGAGTTAGTAATAAATGGATTCTTTAAAACTAGAGGTAGTATCTGAATTATTTTTTGAGGATTTTATTCTGGTAAATATGCTTCATCGGGGGACTTCTGAAGTTCAGTTTTTCTGCTATGGGCTAAATACTGGGTTTACTTTTGGAAGGATGAATTATGATGATTACTTCAAAAAAAAAAAAAAAAGAGAAAAGTAGTTCGTTTACATCACATAAGTTATGCATAGATTTGCTTCTCTGAAGCGTTTTTGATAGTTACATTATCTTAATATGTAGATGTTCACATGCCCAAAAATGCTAATATCAGATCATCATTACACCATTATTTTGTTTGTATGAAAAGAATATCGTATTTGGAAAATACTTTTTTACAATTACCCTTGGGTCACATGTTCAGCTTTGGATCATTATTTTACTTGTGCCTTGCTTCCAATATGTTTGGAGATAAACTAACTCACAAGTAATTTGACTAGAAGAAAAATTGATTGAAATATCGTCCTGCTTTACTCATCCCTGTTATTTGTTTAAATCTAGAGTATGATACTATAAACAATGCTTTCACTGTTTACTTGTCGTGTGTCTGGTGTACAATTCCAAAGTAGGAAATTTTCTATGTCACCAATGGAAATCCAGCCTTTTAAATTCACTTGGGAGAAAAGTAATAATCTGCTTGTCTAGTTAACCCGAGTGTTCAACTTTTATTTTGGCAGTGCTTATTAGGTTATTACTTCTCATGATTAGTCTCCTTGAGCATCCCAGCATCCTTGGCAGCAGATGCAATCTCATCTCTGGACAATGATGCTTGCATGTGGAAGGGAAGATGTTCAGTATCTGTCTACTTTTTTTCAAGAAGCTTTCCTTGCGTTAGTACCTTACTGTTCTAGACAATTTTATTGTCAGTGCATGAAGTTATGTGTCCCAGGGCATTCATACCTCATAGAGTCTTCATGTTCTGTCAAAGGCAAAGGGTCCACAGCTCCTTTTTGGCCGTAGACAGATTGTTCATTCAGTCACGTATTATTTCAGAAATACTTTGGACTATGTATAGTAGTAATTCCTAGTGTTGTAGTATTCTTATTGTAATATTTTTAAATAGTCTCTTTTTAGGGATTTTCAGGTAGTCTAGTAGTGGATGCTGTGCTTTAAGGAAAAGATTGACGTACCTCTTTTCTTTCCAGTTTTTACAACGTACCTTTCCAATAGCAACCATACAGATTGCAGTAATCTTATCCTTTACTTGAATCTAATTATGCTTTTATCCTTTACTCGTTGCTGTATTGCACGTGCCTTTTGCATCCCTCCAGTTTTTTGCTCATCATCTCCTGACCTTTTGGCCACTTCTTGCACTGTTGTTTTCACTTCAAGTGATGGCAGCCAGACAATTGTGTGTTGAGCATTTAGAAATTAATATGTTCTCATCGTGCACATATCTGTGGAGTATTCACTGGGTGGAAATCGACTTGAATCGTTTCGTATGACACTTAGGAGGTGAAACAATTGCTGGGCCCTCTAGTGGATTGTCCTGCTGTTACCTGCCTTCTTTCAGGACCTTGCCTTGGTTGCCATCATACTCTCATGAAAACTCTTCTGAAAGTGAAGGCATTGCTTCTAGTTCTTCTTCCTAAGTTCTGTCTAGACATTAGATTCTTCTGACTGTAATATTACAATGCCTATATCCATTTTCTTTTTTCTGTGTAGGGCCAAATTTTGTATCTGTGCATTTTTGTTTACTTTTGATATGAGGACTTGTAAATAACAAATTATTTTAGTGCCTTCATTTGTTGATGCAAGATAGATGGCTACAACTCTCTCCACTCAATGCAAAGTGCTTCACTCAGCCTAAAATAATATTTGTTTTAATGGTTGTGTTCAAGTAATTGAAGAAGGAAGAATTTGTATATAGTGCGTAAAAATATTTCTGTCAGTATTAACCTGAAACTGAGTAGGAAGGAATATGTAACTTGGAAAGATGCAATTTCTAATTCTATATTCTTCCTCTTGTGTACATTACTGTTATCTGCCATATTAAAAAATACAAAGGAGACCAAACCAAAGTTCCTGTTCAAAGTTGAAGCTGTTTCTTCTCCTTTCTGGATAGCTGTTTTACTTGGAGGACAGGACAGGTTCCGTTGAGGCTCCCTACCAAAGGTGTGGAAGAAACAAAACCAAAACCATTGGCAACAGAACGGCTGTGGTGAGTCCCACGGGGTGGCATAGGAACACATGTAAGGTAACATGTTGCAGAAAAAAGTAACGGGCTAGATAAAGAGCTGATGATGCATTGTCCTTCCAAGCGGTGGTTTTGGTGTAATTTTTGACCGAATTGAAAAGCCACCACACTATTCAGTATAATTGTGTAGGCTTAAGGGAGGCCCAGCACTGGGTCAGCATGCATTTGGAGGATTTGGATCAAGGTGGATTGGCATGGAGTAATAATAAACTTATGTCAATGTCAGAGGTGCAATATTACTTAATATTTCTTGCTTTTAGAATCTTTGGCACCACTGTTCCATTTTAGTGCCAGTAAAGTTGGATATGCTGTTTTAATAGCCTTGTTTAACCTGGCAAAGCTAGTCTTACACCTCATATCTGTCAGTTTAGCATGCAGAGGGGCAGACCTTAGAAATCTTTATGTATTTCTTACCAGAATGTGCAAGTTCTATGAATATGGGCAAGTTGTAGGGTAGAAGTGCTGAACTGGATGATTCTTTCATGTCCCTTTTTTTTCCCTCAAATTTTCTTTTTCATACAGTGGCTATAGCTGTTGTATTTTGTCCTCTAGGAATCTGTAGATACTTTAAAAAACAATTATCTACTGTGAAGCATGAGTCTTGGTGTTGAAAACAGTGGCTGGTGAGGCAAGAACAATGTAGATGATATAGATCTGGCTCATATTAGGACAACAGCTTGTGGAATTTCTTTTGTGGGGACTATTATAAAAGACCTTCATATAAAGGGGACTAATATAATATTCTACTTTGATTCATAACATAACTTTTCATGTAAAATGTTACAGTTTCCATCTTTAATAGTTTAAACTTTGTGATTGATGAAGTGCTACATGACTTAGAGCCCTGACCTACCAGCTAATTAGCGTTTGTAGGAAATGTCATAAAGTCTTAGCTCTCATGTAATAATTGGAATCTGTACTTGGAGTGGCTGGACTATGCACACTAGGTGATATTGTCCAGTTTGTGTTAAATTAAATGTGTTGTAGAATTAATTGTATGCATTACTGGTAGCTGCTTTCTAAAAAAAGAGGACATTTACATACAGTTAGATTAGGAGTATACCAGTGTAAACAAATGAGTCCTACTCTTGTGCTTAGAAATTTGTATCAGTAGTATTGCTTGATGCAGGAATTCTGGCTGAGAACACCAGTGAAATTGAAACTTGTGAATCCAGGATGGTCCAGGAAGACCTAAGAGACCAATTTCTTTTGTTT